CCCTAGCCCCGCCCACCAGGACACGGTCCCGCCCTCCAACCGCCCTGGCCCCGCCCCCAGGATAGAACCCCGCCCTGTAGCGCCCCCTCTCCCGGTGCTAAGCCCCGCCCAGAGCCTCATGGCCCCACCCACTGGAACAGAGCACCGCCCTCTGGCCCCGCCCACCGGGACAGAGCGCTGCCCCTGGCTATAAATAGACACAGGACTGGGGGAGGGGCGCAGTACAGACCGGGCTATAAATAGACGGGGGATGGGGGAGGGGCGCTGTACAGACTGGGCTATAAATAGACGGGGGAGGGGCGCTGTACAGACCGGGCCGTACATAGGACCCGACCCGCCTGGTGCTCACGGTCAGGCCGGCAGTGCTGAATGTTCCCGGCTCTGCGCCGACCCTGGTACCCCAGGATCCCCCTGCAGAGCCGGCATCAGGCCCAGGACCCCACCAGTCGCTATGGGGGGCCTTATGGACGGAGCGAGGCAGGAGAGACAGACCCTGCCCTGCCCTGCCGCGCTCTGGGGCCGGAGCTCTCAACATCAGCAGGGGACCCCACACCCCCCAGAGGGCAGGGGTAACCCCGTCTTACGGGGGGGTACAGGGGGGAAGGGCACTTCTCCAAGGGGACCGCAGCCCCCCCTCCTCTAAGACCCCAGCCCCCACTCCCCTCCCAGAGCCGGGGAGAGAACCCAGGAGTCCTGGCTCCCGCCCCCCTCACTCTAACCCACCAGCCCCCACTCCCCTCCCAGAGCCGGGGAGAGAACCCAGGAGTCCTGGCTCCCGCCCCCCTCACTCTAACCCACCAGCCCCCACTCCCCTCCCAGAGCCGGGGAGAGAACCCAGGAGTCCTGGCTCCCAGCCCCCCCTCCTCTAAGACCCCAGCCCCCACTTCCCTCCCCGAGCCAGGCAGAGAACCCAGGAGTCCGGGCTCCCAGCCCCGCCCACTGTGCCTCCCAGACCCTGAGCTGCTGATTCTCTCGCCCCGGCAGAACAAGCCGCCCGACTGAAGAAGCTGCAGGAGCAGGAGAAGCGGCAGAAGGTGGAGTTCAGAAAGAGGGTGAGTGACCCACAGAGGCAGCCCTGCGGCTGGGTGGGAGCCAGCGCTCCCCAGAGGGGACAGGCCCCTGCCCCATTCCCCACCCCCCTGAGCTTTCCCTTCCGTCTCCCCTTGCAGATGGAGAAGGACGTGTCTGATTTCATCCAGGACAGCGCGCAGACCAAAAAGAAATTTCAGCCCATGAACAAGCTTGAACGCAGCATCCTGTGAGCCTCCGGGCGGGGGGGGGAGCCACGCGGGGGGTGGGGGGATTTCAGCGCCGGGCAAGGGGTCCCCATGTAACCGGCCGCCCCGCCCCAGAGGTGGCTGCGTCTCCGCGCCGGGCGAGGGGTCCCCGTGTAACCGGCCGCCCCGCCCCAGAGGTGGCCGAGTCTCCGCGCCGGGCGAGGGGTCCCCGGGTAACCGGCCGCCCCGCCCCAGAGGTGGCTGCGTCTCCGCGCCGGGCGAGTGGTCTGTGGGTCTGGCCCCTGGAACGTTTGCTCCGTGAGTCAGTAAATCGAGTTCTCCCCTCACTCGCGTCCCAGGCACGACGTGGTGGAAGTGGCCGGTCTGACGTCCTTCTCCTTCGGTGACGATGAGGAGAGTCGTTACGTCATGATCTTTAAGAAGGTGAGCGCCCCCCCCGCCCTCCCAGAGCCGGGGAGAGAACCCAGGAGTCCTGGCTCCCAGCCCCCCCCCCCCCC